GCAGCTCCCGTCCATGGGGTGGCGGGAGTCTACCTAGAGGGTGTGCAGAGACAGCTGCTGAGGCCACAAGTTTCTCTGCCTGTGTGCCAGGTGCCAAGTGGGCCCAAGGCAGCCTGGCATGTTCCAGGGTGTCCACTCAGGCCAGATGTGTGACCCTGTGGGCCCAGGGAGGCTGTGTGTGCCCTGTGCTGCCCTCCTGGGCTGGGAGGGCAGGTGTTGGGATTGCAGGTGTGAGCCCAACACTTTGGGAGGCTGAGGCAGGAGGGGTTGCTTGAGTCCGGGAGTTCAAGACCAGTCTGGGCAACATGGCAAAACCCTGTCTCTACAAAAAAATACAAAAATTAGCCAGGCATGGTGGTGTGTGCCTGTGGCCCCAGCTACTCAGGAGGCTGAGGCTGGAGAATCACTTGAGCCTGGAAAGTAGAGGTTTCAGTGAGCTGAAATTGTGCCACTGTATTCCAGCCTGGGTGACAGGGCAAGATTCTGTCTCATTCCGTCAATCAATCAAATGAAAGCTCAGCTGTGGGGTTTTGACGGGAGTACTTCTATGTAGCCCGTGGCCTGGCAGTGCTGTGAGAATGCTGCCGAGGTTGGGTGGCACCATGTGGGAGGAGGACAGGAGCAGGGAGACAGGCAGGGCGGTCCTAGGCCTGCCAGTATGGGAGGCTGCAGTGGGTGCAGGGCTGGTCAGGACAGGTACATGAAGTCATGGGACTGATGTCCTTGGGAAGTGGAGCGTTTTTGTAGATGTAGGTGGTTCAGAGGGTTACCCTCCTCTGGCTCCTTGACTACTGTGCCCTCCTGACCTCCATCCCTCCCTGGCACCCAGGTCTGTCAGCTGCCTTTGAATTAGCGCCAACCCCAGGAGCTCCAGTCTTGTGGAATTGTTCACCCCTGTGGTGATTTGGTGATGGCAGCTGCTGCACGGATATACACAGGCTCCTGCCAGGTGTCAGGGTGGCTGAATCACTAAGGCCCACGTCCTCTCACTCTCTGGCATCACGAAATTGTGTGCAAAAGTTTAGGACAGTGGTTCCCCACATGTGGTCCTTGGGCCTGTAGCACCAGCATTACTTGAGAACTTGTTAGAAATTAAATCACCCTGGTGTGGTGGCTCATGCCTGTAATCTCAGCACTTTGGGAGGATCCCTGGAGGCCAGGAGCTTGAGACCAGCCTGGGTAATATAGTGAGATCTTGTCTCTACAAAAAAAAAAAAAAGAAAAATTAGCCAGGTGTGGTGGCACATTCCTGTTGTCCCAGCTACTTGGGAGGCAGAGGTGGGAGGATCACCTGAGCCTGGGAGGTAGAAGCTGCAGTGAACTGAGATTGAGCCACCATACTCCAGCCTAGGTGACAAAGCAGACCCTGTTAAAAAAAAAAAAAAAAAAGAAGAAGAAATGAAAATCATTAAATTCATAAAAATTTGGCCATTACTTCTTCAAGTAGTTTTTCGGTCTTCTCTCTCCCTCTCTCTCCCTCCAGTTACACACATGTATTAGTTCACTTGCCCTTGTTCCACACTTCTGTGATGCTCTCTGTATACTTTTCTCAGTGCCTCTGGATCACTGGTCTCAAACTCCTGATCTCGTGGTTCATCCACCTCTGCCTCCTAAATACTGGGATTACAAGTGTGAGCCACCACACCTGGCCTGGGGATAAGATTTTAACATGAGGTCTGGGGGACAAATATCCAAATTATGGCACCCAGGAACTCTGGCTACCTCAGTTTCCCCAAACCCTAAGCCCCTCTTCTCAGCTCAGGGAGGCTGCTGAGCTTGGCCTGGTCCCTCCACTCCCTGGGATGGGCCCTGGAGTCTCTCTAATCGTGGGCTCACTTTTTTTTTTGTCTCTCAGATCCTTTATTGTAAAACTCATTTGATATGGTTTGGCTGTGTCCCCACCCAAATCTCATCTTGAATTGTAGTTCCCATAATCCCCACATGTCCTAGGAGAGACCCAGTGGGAGGTAACTGAATCATGGGGCAGTTACTCTCAGGCTGCTGTTCTCAGGATAGCGAGTGAGTTCTCACGAGATCTGATGGTTTTATAAGGGGCTTTTTCTGCTTTGCTTGGCATTTCTCCTTCCTGCTACCGTGTAAATAAGGACATGTTTGCTTCCCCTTCCACCATGATTGTAAGTTTCCTGAGGCCTCCCCAGCCATGGTGAACGATGAGTGAATTAAACCTCTTTCCTGGGCCGGGTGCGGTGGCTCACGCCTATAATCCCAGTACTTTGGGAGGCCAAGGCGGGTGGATCACGAGGTCAAGAGATCGAGACCATCCTGGTCAACATGGCGAAACACCATCTCTACTAAAAATACAAAAATTAGCTGGGCATGGTGGTGCGCGCCTGTAGTCCCAGCTACTCGGGAGGCTGAGGCAGGAGAATTGCTTGAACCCAGAAGGCGGAGGTTGCGGTGAGCCAAGATCATGCCATTGCACTCCAGTCTGGGTAACAACAGCGAAACTCCGTCTCAAAAAAGTAAATAAATAAAAAAAATAAAAACAAACCTCTTTCCTTTACAAATTACCCAGGCTCAGGTATGCCCTTATAGTAGTGTGAGAAGGGATTAATACACCATTGTTTCATGTGTTTTATTTTTTTGGTTGTTTTACGCAGGAGGGTAAATCTGATCCTTGTTGCTTGGGCAAATTTGGAAGTTTTGTTCTTGTTTTAATTATTGATTTGTAAGAGTTGTTTATCCATTCTGGATATGAGTCTTTTATTAGAAAAATGTATTGCCTACTCATTTTCTTAATGTTAGGTTTTGGTGAGCAGAATATTTTATTTTAACAAAGTACAGTTTATCTTCTCTTTTATGGGTTGTTCTTTTTGTGTCTTATCCAAAAAGTCTCTGCCTACCCAGAGGAAAATATATAACAATGTTTTCCTCTGTTTGCTTCTTGAAGCCTAATTTTGCATTTTATATTTGGTCTGTGATGTATCTCAAGGTTTTGTATACGGTGTGAGGTAGGGGTTGAGATTTACTGCCTCCCACCCCCAAATCTCTCTCGTTGTTCCAGCATCATTTATTAAATGGATTTTCTTTTGCCTAGTTCATTACGGTGGCACCTTGGTTGTACATCGGTTGACCATATACATGTGGGTCTACTCCTGACTCTCTTGTGTCCCATTGATCTGTGTATCTGTCTTGATGCCAACGTCACACTGTCTTTGAGCGATGCTGCATTTCAGGAAGTCTTGAAATCAGACAATGTGGGTCTCCAAGCTGTGTTCTTCTTTTTCAGGACTGTTTTGGCCATCTCAGTTCCTGTGCATATGCATAGATATTTTAGAGTCAGTCTGTTCATTGCTATGAAACTAAAAGCCCACTGGGATTTTGATTGGGAAGGTGTTGAATTTATGGGTCATTTGGGGAGAAGTGTCACCTGAAAAATACTGAGTTGTCTAAGAAGTACTCAGTGAAACAAATAACAACAAACATTATTGAGTCTTTCAGTCAGTATATATGTACATCTCTCCGTAAATCAGGTCAGCTCAACTTGAGACCCTCTACAGTACCCTGGAGTATTCAGTTTTTGTCACCCATATTTCATTAAATATTTTCCTATTTTGTTAAATTATACTAAGGATTTTAAAATGTTGTAAATGGCATACTTAAATTTTCATTTTCCAGTTCTTGCTAGCATTTGCTTATTAGTTCTAAGACATTGGTTTTGCTATTCCTTTTGGGTTTTCTTCATATATGATATCCTTCGTATATGATTGCTGGCTGCAAATACAATTCATTTATTTTTGATCTTTACATATTTTCTTTTTCTGTTATAATTGATTATTATTACAAAAATAACGTCTTAGCCAGTGCAGTGGCTCACTCCTGTAATCCCAGCACTTTGGGAGGCTGAGATGGGAGGATCGCTTGACTCCGGGAGTTTGAGACCAGCCTGGGCAGCACAGCGAGACATTGTCTGTACAAAAAAAATGCAAAAATTAGCTGGGTGTGGTGGCGCATGCCTGTGCTCCCAGCTACTTGGGGAGCTGAGGTGGGAGGATCACTTGAGCCTGGGAGGTCAAGGTTGCAGTGAGCTGTTTGATCACCACAGAACTCCATCCTGGGTGACAGAGTGAGACCCTATCTCAAAAAAATAAAAAATAGGGGCCGGCGCGGTGGCTCACGCCTGTAATCCCAGCACTTTGGGAGGCTGAGGCGGGTGGATCACGAGGTCAAGAGATCGAGACCATCCTGGTCAACATGGTGAAACCCCGTCTCTACTCAAAATACAAAAAAATTAGCTGGGCATGGTGGCGTGTGCCTGTAATCCCAGCTGCTTGGGAGGCTGAGGCAGGAGAATTGCCTGAACCCAGGAGGCGGAGGTTGCGGTGAGCCGAGATCACACCATTGCACTCCAGCCTGGGTAACAAGAGTGAAACTCCATCTCAAAATAAAATAAAATAATAACATCTTAACAACCTTTTTTGCCCCAATCTTTGGGTAATATGACCCCTGGTGTAAGAAGGAGCCCTTCTGTGGCTTTCAGGGCCTCTCCAAGCTTTTGGCACTAGCAGTGGCCTGTGCCCTGCAGACGAGTTGGTGGAGGTGAAGGTCCTGGGTGTGTGCTGGGCTCCTAGTGAAGGGTCTGCCCTTTGGGCCTAGTGCATCCTGCTGGGTAAGGACAGCCAGGGTCCCTGCACCCCATTCATGCGATTGGAGCCCAGCACTGCCCCTCAGCCTCGACACTGGCCCAAGTGGGAGGGTGTGTTCTGCAGGTGTCTCTTGGGATGGGTGTGGTCGGTGCCATAGTTGTCCTTCAGGGCAGGGATCTCACTGGCACGACCCATGGGCCCCAGGGGCTGCCTGACCTTGAAGAGTTCCAGCCACTGTTCTGCAGCCAGGGCTGCTGGGTCAAGCTGCATGTCGAATGACCTCGAGGAGCTTGAGGCAGCAGCTGGACCAAGTATGTGTCTCCCGGTGCTGGGGACCAGGTCGGGGACTGGAATGGGTGGCATCAGTGGTGGTAACACTATCATCTGCCACAGGGCTGGACATGGAGGAAGGCAAGGAAGGAGGCACATGGCTGGGCATCAGCACACGTGGCAAGCTGGCAGCACTCACCAACTACCTGCAGCCACAGCTGGACCGGCAGGCCCGAGGACGAGGTACTGTGAGTGGGGCGGGGCTGAGGTGACACAGGGTGGGTGGAGCGGGGCCGAGGTGAGACAATGGGGTGAGGGAGGCCTAGGTGAGACAGGTTGGGGCCAAGGGACTACAGTACTGGCCAATACAGTGGGGCGGGGTGGGCGGGGGCCAGGGTAAGAAGTGCCAAGGTGTATGGGTGTGGGATGGGGCGGGGCTGAGGTACTGTGGGGCAGGGCCAGGTTATAGAATCGGCGGTACCAAAGTATGGCAGGGAAGGGTCCAGGTAAGGGTAGGGACAAGAAGGGGGAAAGCTGGGCCCTGTGGCAGGTGGGGGCTTCCTCAGCACACCACTGAGGTATGCCGCAGGGGTATGTGGCAGAAACAGGAGGAGTGAGGAGGGGAGCGTCCCCATTTCCCATGCCCTGGCCCTCTGGCGTCACAGTCAGGAGCCCACTCCCACCTGACCCACGAGCACTGTTACTCCTCTCAGGGAACACTCTCCTCTGTCGCCCTCACTGTGTGTCACTGACTGCTGTGTCACTGAAACGTGTTTGCTTCATGCTGGATTTCCACAGGAAGACATAGTGGGGAAAAATATTTTTAATAAAATGAGCAGTTTTCAGTGCTGACCTGAGTGGCAGCCAGGCTGATGAGGTGTGGCTGACTCTTGTGGCAGTCATGACAGGCCAGGGCTCCAGTGGGACCCTCATCTTCCTGCATCCTCCCCAGGGGGCCCCACATCAGTGTTCCCAGGAGAAGAACACATCCCTGCAGCCTTGGACACGGCATCTGTCCCCTGCCCACAGGTGAACTTGTCACCCACTTTCTGACCACTGATGTGGACAGCTTGTCCTACCTGAAGAAGGTCTCTGTGGAGGGCCATCTGTACAATGGCTTCAACCTCATAGCCGCCGACCTGAGGTGGGTCTGTGAGAGGGGGATGGCGGCCCTGCCCAGCACTGCCTCGGGGCAGACCTCAGGCTCATCAGGAAGCCGGGTCCTACTGGGGCCGTGGCAGTCTCTCCAGGGACATTGTTCCTGGTGACTTGGCAGACATTCCTAGGATAGAGCCTATTACAGATGTTCCAACTTGGGGACTTGGGGGTGAACCCCAAGGCTTCCTGTGATGGCGTGAGGGCTGCTGGCTCCCAGGAGAAAGCTGAGGCTGTGAAGGGCAGCGGCATAGAGTGGCCCTGGCTGGGTGTCCCCCTCCGACGGGCAGGGTGTGCAGAGCAGCCCCTGGCAGCCTGGCCTGGAGTGGCTGGGATGCTGTGCTCCCAGGGAAGCTTCCGTTGGAGATGTGGCCACAGGAACTGCAGAGGTTTTGTGTGTTTTGCCCGTAGGTGAAGCGAGCATTCCTCCCTTCTGCCCTCCACCCCCTCCAATACCCCAAAACTTGGCTACTGGGGTCAGTCTGGGGCCTTCTGCCAGAACAGGCAAACAGAAAGCTGTCGGCACACCGTGGTGGGCCCTGATACTGCCTCCTTCCACAAGGGCAGATCCATGGGCCTCTTTCCTGGCTCCGGAGCTTCAGGCCTGCTGTTCCCCTAGTGTCCCTTAAGTGTGGTGTGCCCAGCCCTGACCCACATGGGTCTGCGCACTTGCTGTAGAGGCTGAGAGATTTGCGGCGTCCCCTAGGTGGAGGGCTGAGGCCTGGCGCAGGCCACTTGCTGCCTGGAGCCCTTCTTCCTGCCCATGCCTTTGTGACTCCAGGAGGCAGAGCCCCTGTGCTCTCTGCACGCCCCCCGTGCTCAGGAACCACTTTGTCTGGTCAGTAGTTCCATGTGAGTCTGACTCAGCCTCAGAAGAGTGGATCTGTGGCCGTGACACAAGCAGGACTCAGTGCTCAGCAGCTGTGTGCAGGTGGGGTGCCAAGGGTGCCATGCCCTGAGCAGCTGCATGGGCTCCACCCTCCTGTCGGGGGGTGGGGGCTTGGGCTCCTCAGAGCCTGTGCAACTTGCCCGGCTCCAAATGCTGTAGAGTGAGGGTCAGCCTCCTGCACCTCGCCTGAGGATGCAGGCAGTGGCCAGGAGAGCATATCACAGGTCGGGCAGAAGCTGGTTCCAGGGCCAAGGCTGGAGGGCGGGGGTCATGAGAGGTCAGTGAGCAACCCTGCAGGGGGGTGCCAGTGAGGAAGCCAAGGCCTGGAAGGGAGAGAGGCTTGTCACGGCCACAGCTATCCCCGGTGAGGCCCGCCCTTCTCCTGGCCTGTGCTAGCAGCCCCAACATAGGCATCCAGTTCTATAGGTCCTTACAGAGAAAGCCCAGAGGAGCTTTCTGCCTGCAAATATTCTCTGAAATTATAAACCAAACATCTTGGGAAAGTTGCCAAAGGCCATGGTGAGAAAATACAAAAATGGAACGTGAACGTAGACTGGGGCTCCTGGCGGGTGCAGGGAAGGCAGGTCCCACCTGGTGGACAGCACTTCTGGGAGGAAGGTACCATGCCCGGCTCTTTCTCTATCTGTTCATCTTGAAGGCCCAGGGCTCCATGCCCAGCATCCGGCCTGGGAAGGCATCTCACAGGCCACAAAGAGACCCTCTTCACTTTGAAAAAAAGGTACTCCAAGTTCTAGAAGACTTACTGTGGTATTGAGGATTGGAATATTTTCAGCTGGGGAGCATTTTTAACTATTTTCTTTTATTTAATTATTTCGTAGAGACGAGGTCTTGCTGTGTTGCTTAGTCTGGTTTCAAACTCCTGTCCTCAAGCAGTCCTCTTTCCTCGGCCTCCAGAGTAGCCAGGACTATAGGCATGAGCCACTATGCCCAGCTCAGCTGTCCCTAAAGTGTACGCTTAGCAAATGAGAGTAGGAAGAGGTGGTCTTGGGCACTTTCTTTGGAAGCCTCCATCTCCCTGGGGCCACACTGGGGCCACCTGTCTGGAAACGCTCAGAGATGAGCTGTGGTGGGGGTGCTGATGGAGGGGCTGGGGAAGTGGGGATGGGGCTCAGCCCTGCAGTTGCCCATAGGGATGGGCAGCCTCTGTGTACCTGTGCTATCGGGCATTTGGCAAGGCAGGAGGGCCTTTTAGATGCTTTGCCTCCCTGGCTGGTGGGCCCTGAGGTGAGCTGGGAACATACCCGTGATGCTGGACAAGAGCTAGGGCCTCTACGACCCTGCCTGCCATGTGCCCGAGGGGCTGGGTCCTGCAAGCCCTTGGCCTGGCCACAGTAGACTACTGTGTGCATCGCCAACCTCCAGGAACAGGGCTGTGAGATTGCCAGGCAGTGTCAGGGGCAGGACGCCCTGTGGCTACAGTCTGACACTCTCTCCCCTTGGTCTGCAGCACAGCAAAGGGAGATGTCATTTGCTACTATGGGAACCGAGGGGAGCCTGATCCCATCGTTTTAACTCCAGGTGAGCCTGCCCTGGGAGCCTGATGAGGTGGGGGGTTGTTCAATGCCGAGGTCACCCCTGTGCTTTTTAGAGACCAGGCCCTTGTCATTACTCTCCTGGGACGACTTATGTGCCTTGCGGTCTGTAGGGAACTCGGTCTGCACTCTCCGCCATGGGGCTTTCCTGCCGAGCAAGATGCGCCCCTGTTCTGGGCTTCCCACCATAGCCCTGCAGCCCACCCCCAGTCTCACCTCCTGTGCCATCCCAGTGTGCCCTGTGCCCATCCCTTCTCAGCACCTCTGGGGCCATCCCCACTCGGGGTTTTTGCTCCCTGACGTACACATACACACCCCACTGCAGCCCTGCACAGACACACGTCTCTTGCACCCAGTCCCTGGTCTGTTCCCCGGTCCCTGTCCTCAGGGCCTTGAGCTCCCCTGTGCCAGGTCATACTCCATGTCTGGGCCCTCCAGCCCTGGCTCTAAGCCACTGCCCAGGCTGTGCCTTTTGCTACGTGCCCTTTCTCTCCCCGCTCCTCGGGTGCTGTGATTTCCTGGAAGCTTCCTCTGCCAGTGCCCCAACCTGGACAGAATGTGTCACATTGCCCCCCTCTGTAGCCACGTTCTGGGAGGGAGGTCTGCATCTTGTCCCAGGTCTGGTGCCAGAACAAAGCAGCACTCCTGGGAAATGTCATTTGCCCTGGGTACACAAAACTGTAGGGACCAGAGCCTGGGCTCCAGGGCCCACGGCTTGCTCACTCCCACACCTGCTGCCCGCAGACACTCCTCGCTGGTGGCATCGTGGAACTGTGTGCCTTAGATGCCCACTCTGGTCCTTCTACCCAAGCTGCTGGCCATTCCAGCACCTGGGGAGAGTGTCAGTGCCCTTGGTGCCACCCACACCCCTCTGTGAGGGGGCGCTCCTCTGCAGCTCTGTGCCTGCATCACACAGACTTCCTTTTGCATTTGGCATAGATCACCAAGGTTGCAGGTCACAGGTGCACACCTTCCCACTGGGTGCATATGGTTGGCCAGAAGCCCCAAGTGTCCCTGGAGGTGCCTGAGGGAGGTGGTAAGCAGTCCTCGGGACAGCTGAGTGGCCCCACCCCACCTGGGGGTGCTGATGGTGCTGGCAGGCTTATCATGACAGCTTCTCACGTCTACCCAGTGATGTCTGGTCCACAGATGGGCCCCGCACCCCATTTGCTGGGGTGGTGCCCAGGCCTGGACCCCTGGTCTACTTGGGATCCTCAGCGGTGGCATGTGCCTGGCCTGGAGGGTGGCTTCCAATGTGTCCTACCCACTGCCCCTGTGTATACCAGCTGGTGCCCTCTCCTCCACCTGGAGCTCATCCTTCAGCCACCCTCTGTGACCCTGGCCTTCCCCTCCCTACCTTCGATACAACTGTGGGTGGCCCAGCTGAGCTCCTAAGAACTGGGCAGTGGCACAGACACAGACGCTACCAGCAAGGCAGGGACATGGCCCCAGAAGGTCCTGAGCTTCCAAAGGATTGTTCTGGCTGTCTCAGCCGGCTCTTGCTGTTCCACCTGCCCCAGGGCCTCCCTGTGAGTCAGGGTCATGGGGTTGGAATGTGCAGCAAGGTGGGTCTGTGGCAGTAGACTTGGGCCACCCTGAGCCTGTGACTGCCCAGGAGAGAATTGGAAACTCCCTACCACCCCCTCGTTCTGAACATTGGCCCAGAGGCCTCTGGGGCAGTCACTGTAACCATCCCCGTGACACCCTTGGTTCTCAGAGGCTGAGATCTCAGTGGTCGGAGATGCTTATTATCTGCTCGGTTGTTTTGGAGAAATTATTTCTGACTACATCCTGTCTCATTCCTGACTCTGCCCCACCTGGTCCACGTTGCCTTTAGTTTTTTTAGTAACAGCGTTATTGAGATGCGACTGACGAGCAGCACAGTTCACCCATTTAAAACGTATCATTCAGTAGGTTTCGGTTCATTCAGAGTTGAGCAGCCATCATCGCTACCCAATTCCAGGACCTTTTCTTGATCCCCAAGGAAAGCCATACCCATCAGCCGCTGCTCCCCATTCCCTGTCTCTTTAGCCCCTGAAACCTTTAATCTGCTTTCTATGGATTTGCCTGTTGTGGACACTTTGTATAAAGGGATTCCTATAATCCCAGTATTTTGGGAGGCCGAGGTGGATGGATCACGAGGTGGTTGGTTCGAGACCATCCTGGCCAGCATGGTGAAAGCCCATCTCTATTAAAAATACAAAAATTAGCCAGGCCTGGTGGCGCATGCAGGTAATCCCAGCTACTCGGGAGGCTGAGGCAGGAGAATTGCTTGAACCCAGGAGGCAGAGGTTGCAGTGAGCCAAGATTGCGCCACTGCACTCCAGCCTGGGTGACAGAATGAGACTCCATTGCAAAAAAAAAAATCACTGTGACACCTGGGGCTGGTGGCTTGGCTCTGGGGGCTCTAGCAGAGCCCGGGCTATCTTCCTGGGAAATGCCTTGGCCAAGATCTTCTCCTGGAAGTCTGACGGGAAAGAGGTGGTGTCTCAGTGTCCCTGTCGCGTCATTTGGGATGCATGGCTCCCATCAAGCTCTCTCCTGCTGCCCTGGCCTCTGCAGAAGAGCCTCTGAGGTGAATGAGGTGCTTCTCCACCTCAAGTCCCTGCCCTTCACTTTTTGTGACATGAGAAACCCTCTTCCTGTTGGCCATGCCTTCTGCCACCACTCTGGGAGCTTGCTTTGAGAAGCCACAGGTCAGACTCCATGCATCGAGACCTCTGGCTCCCCTAGCCCGGGGCCCGGCTGGTATACAGAGGTGGGCCATGCTCGGCTGAGGCCCTGCCCACATCTGTACCCCCTATGTGGCACTCTTGGGGGTTCCCCACATAGGGACATGATTGTGGTGGGCGCCTCCTGGCCTCTGGTGGCTAATTCTCTCACTCTTGACCTTCTCAAGTGGCCCCCCCAACCTGGCGTGAGGTGAAGAGTTTCCCTCTTGGCTGCCCCCTTTGCCTGTGAGATCTCAGGTTACTCATTTCTTATTCATTCATCCATTCAGGCTGCTAGGTATCTGTGCCTTGTGGTCTCCTGTGGATGCCCCTTCCACACCCTGTTGAGTTCTCCACTCCTTGCCATGCCGTCAGGTCAGGAATGAACATCGGGAAGGTGCTGGAGCATGGGAGCAGCTTGGCCTCGGTCTGGCCTGATTTCATGGTCCCCAGCCATACCCCATGTTAGGCAGGTGGCAGGTGGCAGTTTGCCCTGACATGGCACAGCAGGGCCTCTGTATGGCCAGCTGACTGCTCCCCACAGGGACCTACGGGCTGAGCAACGCGCTGCTGGAGACACCCTGGAGGAAGCTGTGCTTTGGCAAACAGCTCTTCCTGGAGGCTGTGGAGCGGAGCCAGGCGCTGCCCAAGGACGTGCTCATCGCCGACCTCCTGGATGTGCTCAACAACGAAGAGGCGTGAGTGAGCGGGTCCCGCCGGCTTGAGCCCCATGTCCTCCCACTACTGGGGCAGGGAAAGGCAGGCCCTGCAGCCCCAGGAGGCCTGAGGTGGTGCCCAGGCTGGGTACCCAGCTGCAGGGAAGCCGATGGACGTGCTGTCCTCCTCACCTGTTCCCTTAGACCAGCTGAGGAGACAGCAAGGACTTTTGATGACAGGAGATGGAGGTTCAGTGCACCCAGAGGCTTGATGCATGCACATGGGAAAGAGCAGATGGATGCTCTCCTTTGCATGCTGAGGGCTAGGAGGAGGTTCCAGAAGATTCTAGACACTCAACAAACCCAGGGGGATGAGACAAATCATGGAAACAAGTGGCCAGGATCAGCACTCTCAGGATTGATAGGGCTTCCTGCGTGTGGTCTGTCCTCAGCCACCCTGGGCTAAGTGCTGGGCATGGGCTTGCAGTCCCGGGAACTGTCTGGGAGTAGGGAGCCCCCACCCACTTCCTTGCCCATAGGCCTCGAGGCCCCTCAGGGGCAGGGCACTGGGGTCTTCGTTACCACAGCTGCGGGTCCTAGTGCCTCCCGAGCCAGCCTTTCTCCCACTGGGTGAGATGCCCCACATATCCCTCCCTCCCCACCGAGGTCAGTCCACCATCCTGTCCAGGTGACCCAGCGTCTACTGTCACTCTGTCTAGCTCACCGTCCTCAGAGGAGCCCCCATGGCCTGTCTCCCACTCCTTCCCCTGGGGCGCCTTTCTGCCCCCTGCTTCCTCCCTTTCCTCTGGGCTGGTGATCTGAGGCCTCATCCTTCAGCTTCAGCGTCGCTGCCTCATTGGAAGAGCCCATGGGTGTACCCGGCAGCCCCTCCCAGCTGTAGGTGCACACAGTCCCCTATCACTGTGCCACATGGGGCAGTCCCAGGACCGGCCCTGGCTGCCCTCACTGACAGTTGGAGCCCCAATGCTAGCTACAATGGCTGGCTTGAGTGGACTTCTGTCACCATCTCAGGGCAGGCAGGGAGCTTGTGTGCTATCTAGGGCTGAAGCTCTGCAATTGAGTCATAAGTTAAGGGTAGATGGAGATTTTCTGCCTTGATTGGAAACAGAGGAAACAGGCCGGGTGCAGTGACTCATGCCTGTAATCCCAGCACTTTGGGAGGCCTAGGTGGGTGGGTCACCTGAGGTCAGGAGGTCAAGACCAGCCTGGCCAACATGGTGAAACCCTGTCTCTACTAAAAATACAAAATTCGATGGGCGCACCTGTAATCCCAGCTACTTGGGAGGCTGAGGCAGGAGAATCACTTGAACCTAGCGGGTAGAGGTTGTAGTGAGCTGAGATCGAGCCATTGCATTCTAGCCTGGGTGACAAGAGCGAAACTCTGTCTCAACAAAAAGAAAGAAAGGAAAAACAAAAAGAAAAGAGAAGAAAAACAACCCTTGCAGTCCCCCCTGGCCACTCCCCAGAGCCACTTAGGCCAGCAGGTGGGATGGGGCTAGACCCGGCTGTGCTCAGGCTGCCGAGGGACTAATGGCCGCCACTTCCCTCCATTCTGCAGGCAGCTGCCAGACCCGGCCATCGAGGACCAGGGCCGGGAGTACGTGCAGCCCATACTGAGCAAGTACTCGGCTGTGTGTGTGCGCTGCCCTGGCTACGGCACCAGGTATTGCGGCACCGTGGGTGCACCACCTCCTATCCACATCCCACCTCCCAGGGCGGACGGCCAGCAAAGAGGCCGAGTACCCCCATGCTCCATAGTCAGGGCCAGGCTCCTTCCCGCCTGAGTGGATTCCAGAACTTCCGCCCTGAACGGACATCACTGCAGGGGTACTCAGATGCCACAGGCTCCCAGGGCCCCACAGGCCAGGCTTGAGGAGCCAGTACACAGCCATGCGAGGCCAGGATGGCCTTAGGGCTCCCTGCACACTGGCGGATCCCTGCGGGAAAATGCCTTGGCACCATGGCACTAGGCCTGCCAGCCATACCCCTGGGTGGTGGCTGCTGGCCAGCCTTTCCCACTTGGGGCTGGCTGGCCCCTTGGCAGGTGCCGGGTGTCATTTCCTTCAGCCCCTCCTCTGTCATAGGCTCATCTTCCTATGTGTGAGGGGAAGGCAGGTGCCAAGTCTGCTCCCTGGCAGGTCACATGACTGCTGGGTCCCACCCCACAGGGGGCACTGAGTGTATGTCTGCCCTGGGAACCAGCCTGTGCTGAGACTGCTGGGGGATCCAGTGCCACCCTCCATCTGCAAAGCCCATGGCAGAGAGGGTTAGAGGAGAGAACAGTGTGCTGAGCATTTGCTTCAGACTGGCCAGCATGGCCTGGGCAACAGGAGAGATGGCACAGATGGAGTCTTCCAGAGGAGGCCTCGGCCCCAGGTGGTTAACAGCTTGACCTCCTGGAAGAGCCAATTGCAGCTGAGTGTCTTGGAACCGGGGCCTCTGAAGGGGAGGTGTGTGGTCAGCCCACAGGCTGCTCTGTGATGCAGCTCATGCTACACGGGAGAGCAGGGTGGGCTGGGCTGGTTCCCACTAGAGGTGGCAGGTCTCACCAAGTGTGGGCCTGTGGCGCCAACTGGGAGCCCACACGCCCCTGATGGTCCCTCCTCGTCCCCAAGCTGAGGCTGCTGCTCCTTTGTGCCCTGGCACAGCCTCTGGGCATGGGGGTCCTGCCTCTACCTGCCTGGATTCTTGCCTTAGCTATAGCTATGACAGGCAGGACAGGGCTGAGGGACACCAGGTGAACGAGGGTCCCTGCTCTCTTTCAGAACCAACACCATCATCCTGGTAGATGCGGATGGCCATGTGACCTTCACTGAGCGTAGCATGCTGGACAAGGACCCCTCCCACTGGGAGACCAGCACCCACGAGTTCACACTGCAGAGCTAACCCCACTTCTGGGCGTGCCCAGGGGGCTCCTGGGAGGGGAGGCCCCGCCTTGGGAATAGTTTGGACGGGAAACCTTCCTTGGCCATACTGCACTGCACTGCCCGTGGCTTGGCCCGCATCCAAGCTCAGGGCCCTGTGGTTTGTGTGTTATCCATCTGTGACCCCACGCCCAGCTCAGGGTCTGCCTTTATGCCAGTGGGGAGCAGCAAAGTCTGACACCAGGTCTAGGGCTGGCCCAGATATACCATGAACATGTGGATACATCTGAGCCCACACCTGCACATGTACACAGGCACACCTATACACTGCTGCACGTGCACAAGCATGCACACTCAAGGTGCATATGTGCCCACCGACACATGCACAGGTGTGGCACATGTACAGCATAGGTGTACTACACATGTGCACAGCTGCACACACACACACAGGTGCACACACACCATGTTGAATGAGGCAGCAGGTGACTCTCACCCACTGCTTTGGCCAGTGGATTTTTGTTCTGGTCCAACAACAGGAGTAGCCTGGTATTTAAAAGCGGCCTCTCCTCTCCTGTGGCCACAGAGCACAGGTGTGCTTGGATTCTTGACAAGCAGACCTGCCCCTGCAGAGGAGACAGCCACATTTGGAATTGGGCACAAAGAAGACCTGAGAGAAACCCACTCTGATAACAGAAGTGCAGACTCACTGGCAGACTCAGTGACCTTGAGTGTACCAGGTGTCCTGTGTGTTGGGGATACTACTGTGTGTGCTGGGAGGCTCCATGTGCACCAGGGGCTCTCAGACCCCCGCTTGCCCAGCTGGAGGCCATGGCTCTGGCGGCCCCATCTCAGCCAGCCCTGCCCTCTTTTCGAGTGAGGCAAACTTTTGTAGGAATCCGTACCTGAATGTGAGCTGCTGATAATAAAATTGAGGCTGTGGTGAGCGCATTTTGAGGGCTTTCCCTTGTGTGCAGGATGCCAGTGGGAGCTGTTGCATCTCCTGTGTGATCAGACACCCTGGACAAGGCCCTTCCCACCTCCCTTCCCACCTCATGCTTCTTGAGCACCACTGATGGATGCCTTTGGGTCAGTCCATCTGTCCTTGGGCAGGGGCCGCTGTGAGAGACCCCATGTGTGTGGAATGTGGTAGGTGCTGTTTATGGGGCCAGCCACCCACACAGGGACATCAGGTCGCTGTGGAGCCTGTGGGGGCCCCACTGGAGGGGGAGGCATGGCTGGCCTGGACTTCTGTTGGATGGTGGGGGCCAGGGGATGGTAGGAAGCGCAGGAGGGCGGGTCTGCATCTGTCTCAGCCCCGGGAGCTCCTGGTTTGGGGCCAGCTCTAAAGAGTGCATCCCTGGGCCTGGCAGAGTATAAGGGGGTCCTGCATATCCAATGCTGAGACCCAAGCTTTTCTAAGCCGCTGCACCCAAGCCCTAACTTGGTCTTTTGGATCCATGAGAGTGCAGGGTGGGTGTGGACCTGCACCGGGGCTTCCCAGCCTGAGTGTGACATGATGCAGGTCCACCTAGGGAGGAGCAGGGGCCTCCCTGTCCCTCCTCCTTCCTGCCCAGACCACTCTGCTGGGCTCAGAGCCTTTCATGGCTCACTTTGAACTCAGAAGAGGTTCCCAGCTGTGACCCAGGTTGCACCCCCAGGCCTGAGGAGAAACTAAGACCCCAAGTCCCATATGTGTTCTCTGGGTCAGGACAATAGGCTCCCAGCTGGGGGCACTGCCCTTGCTGCCAACAGGTTCATCTGCGCCAGCGGTCACCATGTCCCGTGCCAGCGTCCAGTGCCAGCACCCAACCTGGATGGTGCCCTGCCCTCATGAAGAGCCCCCCCCGCCGATTTCACCTCTGCCCAGAGGCTCGGCCTACCCGAGAAGAGCAGTCCCTGCTCTTGCATGAGTCCCTCTGCCTCCATCCTGCCCATGGCTCCCCAGCAGCCTGAGCCCCCTAAGGAAGCACAGCCCTCAGTTGTGATTCTACTGGTGTTATGAGTCGCATCCCCATAAAAAGATGCATCAGTGTCCTGACCCACAGTACCTCAGAATGTGACTGCATTTGGGGATAGGATTTTTCCAGGGGGAACCAAAGTAGAGAAGTCATTAGTGTGGTCCTAATCCAGTATGACACTATCCTTATAAAAGACTTGGGCTGGGCGAGGTGGCTTTAATTCCAGCACTTTGGGAGGCCAAGGTGGCTGGATCACCTGAGGTTGGCAGTTTGAGACCAGCCTGACCAACACGGTGAAGCCCCATCTCTACTAAAAATACAAAATTAGCTGGGCGTGGTGGCGCATGCCTATAATCCCCTGCTCTGGAGGGAGGCAGGAGAATCGCTTGAACCTTGGAGACAGAGGTTGTGGTGAGCTGAGATTGCGCCATTGCACTCCAGCCTGGGTAACAAGAGCGAAACACCATCTCTAAAATTAAAAAAAAAAAAGAGGAAGATTGAGGCTGGGTGCAGTGGCTCATGCCTGTAATCCCAGCACTTTGGAGGCTGAGGCAGAAGGATTGCTTGAGCTCAGGAGTTTGAGACCAGCATGGGGCAACATGTTGAAACCCTGTCTCTACCAAAAAAAAATACAAAATGAGCTGGGTGTGATGGCTCACACCTGTAGTGCAAGGCTGATGTGGAAGAATCGCTTGAATGCGGGAGGCAGAGTTTGCAGGGAGGCAGAGTTTGCAGTGAGCCAAGATCGCACAATGCACTCCAGCCTGGGCAAGAGAGGGAGACTGTATCTAAAAAAACAAAAAAGGAAGATTTGGGCTGGGTGCAGCGGCTCACACTTGTAATCTCAGCCCTTTGGGAGGCCAAAGCTGGAGGACTGCTTGAGCCCAGATTAGTCTGGGCAATATAGCAAGACCCCATCTCAAAAATAATTAAATTAGCAAGGCATGGTGTTGCACACCTGTAGTCCCAGCTACTCGGGAGGCTGAAGTAGGAGGATCACTTGAGCTCAGGAGGTCGAGGCTGCAGCGAGCTGTGATTGTACCACTGCCCTACAGCCTGACGATGGAGGAAAAAGGAAGATTTGGACACGGACAGATATGCACACAGGGAGAACACCGTGTGAAGACTAGAATTCTCCATGAGCCAAGGTATCACCAGAAGCTGGGAGAGGGGCCTGCTTCAAAGCTTCTCCTGGAGACCTCAGAGGGAGCAGGGCCGCCATCACTGTGATCGTGGACTTCCAGCCTCCAGAACTGTGTGACAATAAATGTGTTATTTAAGTGGTTCCATTTGTGAGGCCTTTTGTTTTCTGAGAGAGGGTCTTACTCCGTTGCCCATTCTGGGGTGCAGCGGCAAGATCACAGCTCACTGCAGCTTCTGCCTCCCGGGCTCTGGCGATCTTCCCATCTCAGTCTCCTGAGTAGATAGGGCTGCAGGTGCATACCACCACGTCCAGCCAATTTTTGTATTTTTTGTAGGGAACAGGTTTTACTATGTTGCTTGAACTGGTCCCAAACTCCTGGGCTCAAGTGATCCTCCCACCTCAGCCTCCCATAGTGCTGGGATTACAGGTGTGAGCTACTGTGCCCAGCCCTTGGTGGTTTTTGAAGGAGGCCCTAACAGACTAACCCCGTTGTGATCTTCACCTTACAGATGGGGAAACAAGCTTGGGGAGACACCGTAATGGCCCCCCCAGCTCCCAGCCAGGTGGAAAGGCAGAACCATGGGCCAGGACAGAATAGGATGAGTACAAGGTGGTATCTCTGGGGGTGCCTGCCCCACAGATCCATGGTCCTCCCATGCTGGTGTCCCCACAATGTCTGGCACTGCTTCCCACTTCACCTTACTTGCCCAGGCCTCCCCCATACCCTCAACTCAGAGCTATAAACTCTGCATAGCTCCTGCCCCAGGGTCTTTGCACTCAACTCCCTGTAGATATCCAAACCACACTCTCCCCCAATTCCTTCAGGTCTTTACTAAAGTCTCGGGCAGGCAACTCATTTAAAATAACAGTCTAGCCCAGCACGGTGGCACATGCCTATAATCCCAGCTACTTGGGAGGCTGAGGTGGGAGGGTTGCTTGAGCCCAGGAGTTTGAGGCTGCAGTAAGCCATGATTGCACGACTGCACTCCAGCCTGCGTGACACAGCAAGCCCCCATTTTGAAAGAAAAAATCAGGAGGCTGGCCGCAGTGGCTCACACCTGTAATCCCAGCAATATGGGAGGCTAAGGTGGGTGGATCACTTGAGGTCAGGAGTTCAAGACCAGCCTGACCAACATGGTGAAACCCTGTTTCTACTAAATATGCAAAAATTAGCTGGGCCTGGTGCCTGGTGCCTGTAATCCCAGTTATTCATGAGATTAAGGCAGGAGAATCCCTTGAAGCTGGGAGGAGGAGGTTTCAGTGAGCTGAAACCTAATAATGCTAATCGTGACTGACAACATTTTAGCAGGACTTATCAGATTTCTCGGAATTTCATACAATTTCTAGAGCAATCATTAACATAGCCATTCAAATGTAACATAAAGAAGGAGCATCACTTATTATTTGACAATACTTCCCATGTAATTTAACATCAAATAAGCTCGGGTAGTGTAATCTCTCTCACAAGCTAAGAGATGAATCCTTAGACACTTTCCAGAGGGCCTCTTGAAAAATCCCAAAATTAGTTCAAGATCAAAAAGACTTAATTTAGAATTGGATTTTGGAAAATTGTCAAAAATGTAAAAAAGTTTCAAACACTTGACTAAACAAATTACATGGCCAGGTGCGGTGGCTCATGCCTATAATCCCAGCACTTTGGGAGGCCGAGGCAGGTGGATAACTTGAGGTCAGGAGCTCAAGACCAGCCTGGCCAACAATGGCGAACCCCTGTCTGCTAAAAATACAAAAATTAGCCAGGCCTGGTGGCAGGCACCTGTAGTTCCAGCTACTTGGGAGGCTGAAGCAGAAGAATCACTTGAACCTGGGAAGCAGAGATTGCAGTGAGCCAGGATCACACCACTGTACTCCAGCCTGGGTGACAAAGTGAGACTCTGTCTCAGAAAAACAAACACATTACACATCACTGTGAAATAATACTAAAGGGACAAAAGACTTTAAAGACAAGTGTTTTACAATTGTAAAACAAAACACCCTAGCTCTTTTAATATTGAGAAGACTCACATTGCTTTTTTTTCCCTTCGTTTGTGAGACAAGGTCTTGATTTGCTGCCCAGGCTGGAGTGCAGAGATCACCCCTCTGCACTCCTGGGCTCAAGTGATCCTCCTGCCTCAGCCACTCAAGTAGCTGGGACTGAAGGTGTGCACCACCATGCTTGGCTAATATTTGTATTTTTTGTACAGATAGGGTTGTCATATTGCCCAGGCTGGTCTCGAACTCCTGGCCTCAAGTGGTCTGCCTGCCTCAGCCTCCCAAAGTGCTGGGATTACAGGTGTGAGCCACTGCACCTGGCCACATTTTTTTTCCTTTGGAAAGTATTTATTTATTATAAATAAATGTCCTATACATTAAATATCAAGAAATATTCACTATTGATTACAAGTCAAGATATAACACTGAGGGAACTATAGAATCAAAATACCTACTCATGATACAGTAGTGATAATTTCATTCCAATATTGGACACAATAATGATTTGTTCACAATATACAACAAAACCCATCAAAAAGGTCATCACTTGGCCAGGTGCAGTGGCTCACGCTTACAATCCCAGCACTTTGTGAGGCCAAGGTGGGCGGATCACGAGGTCAGGAGTCTGAGACCAGTCTGGCTAATATGGTGACACCCCATCTCTACTAAAAATACAAAGGTTAGCTGGGCGTGGTGGTGTGCATCTGTAATCCCAGCTACCTGGGAGGCTGAGGCAGAATAGCTTGAACCCAGCAGGCAGAGGCTGCAGTGAGCTGAGATTACACCACTGCATTCCAGCCTGGATGACCCAGAGAGTATCTGTCTCTAAATAAATAAAAACACGTAAAGTTGGCAGAGCATACAGTCTGGAGGGGTTTGAGAAGAGGGGATTCAGGTGACTGAGAAGTTCCAATGGGAGGAGGATCCAAGAGAGGGAACAGAGAGGCCTCACAGCGAGCTGGGAAGAAGAGACTTTTAGCCCAGGAGTCAGGGAGTGAATCCCCATTTAGAACAAGGAGTCAGGAAGAAGAACTTCCAATGCAGGAAGTATTATACCTTTCAAAAGAAGCTTGGGACCTTAAAAAAAGAAATCTGGGCAGGGTGTGGTAGCTCACGCCTGTTAATCCAAGCACTTTGGAGGCCAAGGCAGGCAGATCACCTGAGGTTGGGAGTTCAAGACCAGCCTGACCGACATGGTGAAAACCCGTCTTTAAAAAGACCAAAACCCAAAACGAAATCTGTCCTTACCAGCTAGAATAAAAGTTTGTCTACAGCCATGGTTCATAAGTGTGACTCACTAACAGATCCCCAATCAGCCAGTTAGGAGAGGAGACAAAGGCTGCAGAGTTACACACTGTCCTGGGTGACAGGCCTGTGGCACCAAGCCATAAAGAAAAAATTACTGGCCAGGCACAATGGCTCACGCCTGTAATCCCAGCACTTTGGGAGGCCGAGGTGGGCAGATCACCTGAGGTTTGGCGTTTGAGACCAGCCTGTCCAACATGGAGAAACCCCATCTCTACTAAAAATACAAAAAATTAGCTAGGCATGGTGGCATGTGCCTATAATCCCAGCTACTCAGGAGGCTGAGGCAGGAGAATTGCTTGAACCCAGGAGGCGGAGGTTGCGGTGAGCCAAGTTCGTGCCACTCGCATTGCACTCCAGACGGGGTAACGAGCGAAACTCCGTCTCAAAAAAAAAAAAAAAAAATATATATATATATATATATATTATATATATATATATATATATATATTAGCTGGGTGTGGTGGTGCATGCCTGTCATCCCAGCTATTTGGGAGACTAAGGTAGGAGAATCGCTTGAACCCGGAGGCGCAGGTTGCGGTGAGTTGAGATTGTGCCATTGCACTTCAGCCTGGGCAACAAGAGCCAAACTCTGTCTCAAAAAAAAAATTTTTTTTTCATCTGCAGCAGCTATTATTGGGATGGCTACCCAATGGGAAATATTCTTTTTTTTTTTGAGTTGGAGTTTTGCTCCTGTTTCCCAGGCTGGAGTGTAATGGTGGATCTCAGTTCGCCTCAACCTCAGCCTTCCGAGTAGCTGGGATTACAGCTGTGCGCCACCACGCCTGGCCCCAATGGAAATTTTTCTAAATTTACTATTTCCAGCATTCCTTCCACATTTATTGACAGGAAAGCTTCTATTTCCATCATTTCCTCCACATTTATTGACAGGAAAGCTAGTCTAAGGAAGCGATGTACCCTCACTTACTTATATCCTCCTTTTCCTTTTTTTGAGACAGCATCTCGTGCTGTCACTCAGGCTGGAATGAAAGTGGTGCAATCTTGAATCACTGCAGCGTGGAACTCCTTAACTTAGGCGATCCTCCCACCTGAGCCTCCTGAGTAGCTTGGACCACAGGCACGTGCCACCATGCCAGCTAATTAAAAAAAATTTGGGGGCCGGGCATGGTGGCTCACACCTGTAATCCCAGCACTTTGGGAGGCCGAGATGGGCGGATCACGAGGTCAAGAGATCAATACCATCCTGGCCAACATAGTGAAACCCCGTCTCTATTTAAAAGAAAAAAAAAAGTAATTTAAAAAAAAAGTATATGAAATATACTTTTAAAAAAAGAAAAAACATTTTTTTTGGTCCGGGAGCAGTGTCTCACACCTATAATCCCAGCGCTTCGGGAGGCCGAGGCAGGCGGATCACCAGGTCAGGAGTTCGAGACCAGCCTGGCCAATATGGTGAAACTGTTTCTACTAAAAATAAAAAAAATTAGCCGTGCATGGTGGCGCTCGCCTCTAGTCCTAGCTACTCGGGAGTCTGAGGCAGAAGAATCGCTTGAACGCGGGAGGCGGAGGTTGCAGGGAGCTGAGATCGTGCCACTGCACTCCAGCCTGGGAGACAGAGCAAGACTCCGTCTCAAAAAAAAAAAAAAAAAAAAAAAAATGTAGATACTGGGTGGGGGGGGGTCTCCCTATGTGGGGCCAGGCTGGTCTCGAACCCCTGGACTCAAGTAATCCTCCTGCCTCGACCTCCCTGAGCTCTGGGATTACAGGCGCAAGCCACTGCGCCTCGCCTAACTCTCCCTGTTTTGGAACTCCTGTTATAGTATTAGCAAATGGAAAAGCGCCAGACAGTTGAGCACACGCGTTCTTTGTAAATGATTACGTCTGATACA